GGGGTTTGGATCTGTATTCACCAGGGAATTGGTAAAGAGTTTCTCAAGGCTTCCCAGGGAAGGGAATCCACTTGGGAATGGTGACAGCGGACCAGATCTCAGCTGGTAGTTAAGCTTAGAAGTTTTCATGCAGGCCCCCACATTTGTACCCTAAAGTTCAGAGTGGGGAAGCAGCCTTGACAGTATCAAGAAACTCAGTTGTTGTTGTTGGGTGGGTGGGGGTGTGTCTACCTACCTACCGAGGTCACCAACAAAACTCGTATTGTCTTAAATGGGAGCAGAATTGGGCAAGTCTTGTTTTTGCCTCTTCCTTAACTGATCTTCACATTTTCCATTAGAACACCCACTACAGGGAAATACATTGAATAGACCTTGTTGTGAGAGAGAAAATTTTCCAACATTTCTGTTCAAGCCACTTCAATTCCCTTCTACAAGTGACTTTGAGGAAAAAAATTCCACTCTCTGTTACAACCTGCAAACTCAATTGCACAGATACCATGGTGATAGGTGCTATTTAAAAACCCAAGACAGATTAATAGTGTAAGTGAAAGCAGAATTTGGTGCAGAAGAGGGCTCTCCAGTCATTTTATTCTGACATGTACTGTTACCAGGTGAGACTCATTACATCCTCATTTGGTCTTTTTTCCTGACATTTGTTAAGCAATCTTTGGAGCAGAGAGGCAACGTCTTTTCTTTTGAGGGTCCAAAGATTTGTGAGGTATTAGAGCTCTACAAATAGCAGATGGAGTTGCTTTCCATTGTCATACTTCTCCAGCCATTTCTCCCCAGGAAGCTAAGGTCTTTTAACAGTAGTTCTATGTCTTTCAGGAGAGAATATGAATTGAAAATAGATCTGATAACCTTGAGCTTTCTTCATTATAAATTAGATGAAAACCTAAAGATTTGATATCACTCTGGGCCAGCTGAGATTGAAAAGAAACTGTTGACACACAAGATTATTTCATTTTCAAGTGTATTTTGTAAGGCGGAGAACACCACAGGATTGGAAGCAGCAGAACCTTGAGACGCATTTCAAGTATCCAACAGATTGGGGGCAGCCTGAACCACCTAGAAAAATCAAATTGAACCAGAGAATTTTTTTTTTTAAAGATCAAAAAAATTTAGTTAATGGGTTCAGTCACAGAGACTGCCTTGGGACTGTCACCTGATGTGCTGGAATTACCTCTAAGCCCGTTTTCCCTTCCAACTTGGGACTCCAGAACCCTGCCTTGTTGAGCCAAACATGCTAGGCTGCTGCAACAGAGACCCAGGTCTGGTCCATGCCCCCAAAGCTGCAGACTTTAACCAAAAATTGCTCAGCAGGTCATCTATTGCTCACCTATCTCCAGCACCCAGTGGGATCCAAAACCCAAATAAAGCCGTTTTACTCTGTATAAAGCTTATACAGGGTAAACTCATAAATTGTCCACCCTCTATAACACTGATAGAGAGATATGCACAGCTGTTTGTTTCCCCCAGTTATTAATCACTTACTCTGGGTTCATCAATAAACAAAAGTGATTTTGATTTTATTAAGTATAAAAAGTAGGATTTAAGTGGTTTCAAGTAATAACAGACAGAACAAAATAAATTACCAAGCAAAATAAAACAAAAACACAACACGCAAATCTAAGCCTCATAGATTAAGAGACTGAATACAGGTAAATCTCACCCTCAGAGATGTTCCAATAAGCTTCTTCCACAGACTAGACTCCTTCCTAGTCTGCACCCAAGCCTTTCCCCTGATACAGACCTTGTTAGTTCCAGCAGGCATTTATGTGAAAAGCAGGGGATTTCACATGACTGGCACCCCTCTTATCCTCCACCCTCCTTTATAGCTTTGGCACAAGGCAGGAATTCTTTGTCTCTCTGGGTCCGCACCCACTCTTCTAAATGGAAAATTACCAGGTTTAACATGAATTCAAGTACCAGGTGACATGATCACATGTCACTGCAAGACCTCATTCTCCATTCTTTCAGGGTTGGCCTGCACATGCCCAGGAAGGTTTGTGAGTAAACAGAGCCATTTACAACCAATTGTCCTAGTTAATGGGAGCCATCAAGATTGTAGGCCACCATTAATGACCCACACTTTGCATAGTTACAATAGGACTTCAGAGGAATACTTCATATTTCTAGCTTCAGATACAAGAATGATACATTCATACAAATAGGATGAACACACTCAGTAGATTATAAGCTTTGTAATCATACCTTACAAGAGACCTTTTGCATGAAGGATATTCCAGTTACATTATATTCACACTCTAGCATATTTCCATAAAACATATGGAATGTAACATCACAGTAACATCTTGCAAATCATCCCCATATCCAGAAATACTGGGGATGTCAGAAAAAGTTACAGAGCTTTACCAATTGTCTGTATATTTTCATCAACCAAGGAAACCTACAAGATCAGTTATGTTAGTTCGCACTAAGACCAGTCTGAGATTAACTTCATTTATTTCTGATTGCAGCATGGTTCTTTGGTACAGCAAGAAACCTTCTTTTCTTAAGGATCTCTGGCCTACCTAGATTGTCATCCCACAAGTATTCCGGAGAAAGTATTTTGGTTGGTTTGTAGTAAACAAAATACTTGTTTAAGTGACTCTCATCGTGCCAGATTGCCTCAATTCCATTGGCTTTGTCCACCATCATGGCTTCATGGCATTTCTTGGTCAGCATGTAAACCTCCATTACTGTTCCTCCAAAAAAGGCTCCAATATAGTAGAAGTCACCCTCATCACTGGGCACATAGGCTTGAGAAGCAGGTCGACGTTCGTAGGTGAAAGACTGACGCTCTGCAGCATAGAAACCTGGGTGTAGTGTGCCAAACAAGTTGCTCAGGATCTCCACTCCAACTTGGTCATTAAACTTCATGTCTACATCCACACACACTAGGTAGCTGACCTCATTAATGAACCGCTGCTGAGAGAAGTTGCTGATCATTTCCATTCGTCGCATAGAGATTTCTTGCCACCTAGGGTAGTTTTGGACTTGCAATACCACTACATTCCTTCCTTCTTTGAGCACAACTTCAGGAACTTCTTCTGGTCTGTCTGTGAAAATGTAATAGTTCACCCTATGTCCAACCATAAAATACATTTCTGCAGTTTCTAAAAACTTCTTGAGGAAGACTACATACCTAGAAAAAAAAGAAAGAAATTCTCTATTAGAAATAAAAGTCACTGTGGTAGAAGACAGGAAGAAGGGGATACAGAGAGCAACAAAGTGAAAGGATCAGGGAGACCCATAGGGTGTGCAGAAGAGGGAGCAGGTGGGGGAAATGGTGGACGTGTAAGAAGGGGCAGAGATGTAAAGCATCTTGAAGGTGAGGATCAGGGCCGACTCTAGGATTTTTGCTGCCCCAAGCAAAAACAATTTTGGCCCCCACCCCCGGCCACGCCTCAACTCCGCCCCTTCCCCAAATTCCCAGCCCTGCCTCTTCCCCCATGGCTCTCAAGCCTAGGAGGGAGGGAGGGGGAGAAGCAGCGCGCGAATCAGCTGTTTCGCACGCCGCGGCCGCTCGGGATCTCCCCCTCCCTTACAGGTTTGAGAACCTGGGAGGGAGGGGGAGCAGCAGCGTGCAAATCAGCTGTTTCACGCGCCGTGGCGTGCGAGCGGCAGCAGCGGAGGCAAGCTAGGGCGGCCGGGGCACATTTTTAGGGGCGGCATTCTAGCGCCGGCCATGCTGCCCCTAAAAACGTGCCGCCCCAAGCACCAGCTGGTGCCTAGAGCCGGCCCTGGTGAGGATGAGGATTCTGAACTTAGTGTGGAAAAAGACAAGAGGCAGTGAAAGGACTGATGGGGGCTGATGCCATGGTTGGACTCACAAGAGGGATCTAGGATTTTAGCTTTTGTTCTTATTTATGGAGGGGAAGATGAACCAATTCCTACCTAGTTTGTAAAGCATTTTATGATGATCAAAGCTGTGTAAATGTCTGTTTTTCTTTCCTATGAAAGTAGCCAATTAATATAAGATTCCTATTAAGTAGTAACAAGTAACTGTGACTCTACCTAATGGGTTTTGTTGCAAGCAGGAATTGACAATGCTCATGAACAACAAAAAGAATCTGTTTTAGTCAGAAACAATGTTTTTCAAATATTTGTTGCTAGTTTCCTGGTTAGGATTATTTCCTTCCAAATACTGATGATCATCAACCTTCATCTCTTGAGCCCTATTCAGCTGTTCAGGGCATTGCACGTGACTCTCATGGAATCCATGCTGCAGGCGCAAGTGAGGTCTTAGGTACTGCGGTGATCACATGAGTGCTCTGCCCATGAACACATGTGGAAGTGCTGAGAAATGAATCATAGACACCATGCCACTCTGTCCCTCCCAAAGAGCCAGGAAGGGAGTCTATCTGGGATGGATGAAGAGCTGACCTGTACCCTGCCTGAATTTGAACCTCTCGCTCTAGGGACTTTCAAAGCAAGGTACGCATCATCTCCTGAGAGATACTGAGTATCTTTAACTCCATTAACTTCAGTGAGAGATAAGGGCAAGCAGCACCTCTTAGGATTGGGCCTATATTACCACTTAGCCAGCCTTGCAGTGAAAATCAGAATTTTCTGTCATGTTCACATTCCAGCTCCATCCAAGCAAAATGACTTGTCTGGGCGGCCCAGGTGCAGATGCATTTCAAAGGTGTTCTGACTCGTTACCTGCTATTACACCTGCAGGTGTAATGTGTTACAAGAGCTGCCCGCCACATAGCCAGATATGAGCCAAGATCAATGGCAGCGGTTTGACATCAATGGTTGGGAAACAGCCAGGGCACTATGACCTACAGCACTCAGGATCCTTATCCTGGTAAAGTATTGGAGAGGGTCAGCAAAGGAACCTGTAGAAAAAAATCCATCAAACCCCCTCAGGAGTAGAGGGGCCAGTTGAGGCACTACCCTCTTACAGAAATCAGCTCAAACCCAACAGGAGTGAGGGGGCATTTACAAGGTTTCATGGCAAACATCCAAGCCCCCTTCATTTCACTATGGGAGGGATCAACATGGGAGTTGTACACTATACACTGTTAGAAATTAACATCAACCTCATTTGTTGCGTATATGCCTAGCCCCTTTAGAACCCAGTACTAGTGAATGAGAAACATCCTACTGATCTTTGTCCTTGTTTGGCTGCCCTTTATACAGTAAGCAGATATACAGCATAGAGCGAAGATTGTAATTTTTCATTCACAGACATTTCCAACATATTTAGCCTTGCTTGAAGATATTGATTTCTGATTCAAAGCTAAGCATTCTTAATTAAGCCCATTTCTCAGAACACAAAAACATGAAGGTACTTCAGGAATCCTTTAGCAACTCCCCCTCCCCAAAAGAAGGGCATAAATATGCTCCTTATCCCCAAGATATTATTGGGAAGAGACCCTAATTCATATTGATTCTGGGGCAGTTACAAACCATTGTGCCAGCATAATGTTAGGGGAGTGTTATGTTGCTTGGGGTTTTGTCTTTCAAAGTCCTGATTACATGTAATCATTATCAATCCCATTAAACTTTTCACAGGAGTAGGAGTATCCTACCCAGTATCCTCCACAAATTCAAACTTCAGTTCTTTCATCCCTCCTTCCCAAATTGGCCCTATATTTTCAAAATAGATCTGCTATTCTTTGCTTCCTATCCTAATTGTTGTGTCTCATTGATGTACAACATTGAACAGTTGCTGCATCTCACTGGTGGCCAAATCAGCCTTGCAAAATTGTTATAAATATTTATCAGCACAGGTACAAAAAACTACTTGTCCATTCTTAACAGGATCATAATAGAAAAATAATCAGGATCTTTTACTATACTTTGATCTGGAGCCCTTTTAATCTTTAGCAATACATTTTGAAAAAAAATTCTGTTGGCAGGCAATAGCGCTTATAACCAGTGGCTGAACCTATGCTCCATGACTAACAAGGGCTTTGTTGTAGCAGGCACAGCCTTTGGAAAACAATGTTATTAAATAGTTCCTTAATCTGTGCTTGCATAGCTGGGTATGTCACAAACCACGCTAAGTATTTTCCTTCATTTACAAATCAGATAAAGCGCTGCTCAGCATGAAAGTCAAGTTCTTCCTTTGTAAGAAGGACTCTTGAAGGATGTCTCTCTGTGCCCAGTTACGTGGTTGTATTTCTAAATATTCCACCCCAAGTAGAATGATAATGGTGTAGAGAGAAGATAGAAAACCACCTGTCGTGAAGTCAGCAGCGCCTAAGGTCAAAAACTTTGTTCCCAGAGCAAAGGGAAAAGAGGAATGTACATCACTCAACTTCCATAGTGCCAATCCCTCCAGTCCCCCTCCCTCTGATACACATGACAAGCAGCTTAATGTGACTCTTTCTCACAGCTGTCAGACCCTCCTAATTTCCTCCTCCACCACACTGGAAAAGCCCTGTCCTTTCCCTGTCACTGAAATGTGTTTTAAGTCAATCAGCAATCTTCCAACAAAACTCCTGCTTGGGAGAGTGAGGTGAACAGGGGATACCATACACCATCACTACACACAAAAAATTGGTTCCCCCACCTCCTCGTTGGTTATACATCACCTTTTGTACCTAACATAGTTCAGACTCACTTTTTGATAGCAAACACTGTCAGGCCAACAGTGACATTCCTTCGTCGGAACTGCTCATTCAGAATCTCGGAGTTATAGGTCCCTTCCCAAACTATTGGAGCAAACCATGGAGTCATCGTAAGGACGTCACTTCTCCTGTGGAAGAGGAAGTTTTCTTTAGAAACACACTGTAGAAGGAAGAAATACGGAGGCAGTTCCCTTCCCTATGTATAGAAAGACACTACCAGAGCCATGTGTTAAAGTTAAAAAATAGATAACTAACAGCTTTAAAGAAAATTCAACTCCATGAAGTCACAAGACATGTTGCACTAAGGCTATATAATGTAGCAGGTTACTGGGATCTATCAACTAATTAATGTTTGCACTGCACTAGCATCTATCCAGCATGTCTGAGGTTTGTAACGGAAGAAAACATTCTGGCTTGTACTTTGTATAAAGACCCAAGTGTTTCTGAGATTTTGTATGCCTAAGTTAACACAGAGCAAGACAAGTTCAAATCCTTAAGGAAGTTTCTTGGTCAGATTTTAGTCAATTAACTTTAGTTATATCATCTTGGATGTAACAAAACACTTATTTTTAGTTTTACTTACGATGGCTTTAGAATCTGTGGCTTTGTGTAAATCATCCTAAAAGAAAAGTAGGGAAACAAAAAATGATTTCAAGGTAAGGAAAGATTTCCATAGCTCTTTAAAAAAAAAAAAAAAAAAAATCCTTTTCGAGTTTACAGACAAATAAAAGATTCCCACCAATCAGCTCCATTGAGAACTCAGTGACCCATACTCAGAACTCCAAAGGAAAGGGTTTTAGCTTTACTGTACCTCTGGTGACTTGAGTTTAAATCCTGGGTTAGGTCACATATGAACATAAGTTTAGTGGTCTCTCTCTAGTCCCTAATGTTGGTTCACATCACAAAACCTCTATGCAGTGTGGCTTGATTGACAATCTATGCTCCTGAGAGGCTCAGAGGGAGACATTAAAAGTCAGGAATGAGGTGCATTAGCAAAGTGGTGGGAGCATACAGGATAGGGGTAGAAAAGTTTTTCAGGTCGGGAATGTGGAACATTGATATATCTGTGTGTGGGGCTCAGAACTTGAATAGTAGAGCTTCCTGGAGGTCAGAATTGAGGTGCAGACTGGTGTAAACCAAGCAATGTGAACATCTTTAGAGGGGAGAGGAATCCATGAGATCACCACTGAGAGCTTTCAAAGATCAGTAACATCTGAGCTTGTCTAAATCTCAGTGTCATCATGCTGTATTGATGATTCATAATACACAAATGCAATTCTAAAACAGAGTACTGAAGTTCCACAAGCATAAATCATCATCCTTCAGGAACGCTAGAGCTCTTCTGAAAGCAGCTCGAACACTTAAAAGAAACTAACAAAAAGTTCTACCTTGGTAATTTAACTTGTAGTAAATCTTCCAGGAAGCAGGTATGGTTGCTATAGAGAAAACAAAAGGAAGTTTGGCTTACAAAAAGACAGCATTCAATAGAAAGTAACTAGTCCAAGAAATCATTGAATTAATTCACATTTACCAGCATCTAAATATTAAAGAAAAAGTTCTGTCTTAATATCTTTGCATCTTGAAAGTCATTGTGATCATATATCATGTTTGTTTTTTAATAGAAAGAAAACATTGGAAGTTTAGTTTACCAAAAGTACAGCATTATTAGAGCATAACTGGTTTAAAAGTAATACAAGTCCAAGGAAGACAGACCTGCAAACCTATACATGAATACTCATTCACACAAGTAGTCCCACTGAAGTAAATGGGAATTATCATACGACTAAAGGCCGCTCAAGTTGGTGTTTGCAGGATCATGAAACAGACAGGAAGAGGCGGTTACTCACCCCGTGCAGTATCTGACATTCTTCGAGATGAGTGTCCCTGTGGGTGCTCCACTCCAGGTGTTGGTGCGTCCCTGCGCCTTCGCTTGGAGATTTTTGCAGCAGAATTCGTACCGGCCACTCATGCGCAGAGCCTGCCCCCCTGCTCTGAGTATACCTTAATAGTACGCATGTGCGGCCGGTTTCCTCAGTTCCTTCTCTACAACGGAGGCTACGCCAACTCTGAAGTAGAGGGGAGGAGGGCGGTTAGCGGAGCACCCACAGGGATACTCATCTCAAAGAACGTCAGTTACTGCACAGGGTGAATAACTGCCTCTTCGAGAGACAGATGTCCCTATGGGTGCTCCATTCCAGGTGACTTAAAAGCAGTGTGTCTCAAGGAGGTAGGGACTTCGGATCTGATAGGAATGCAGTAGCCAATACAGCCCTGCCCAATCGTGTATCAGAGAGAGGGCCTTGAGTAAGGGCATAGCGTTTAACAAATGTGTGTTCAGAGGACCAAGTGGCAGCTTTACAGATGTCAGCCAGGGGAACTTTGCATAAGAAAGCCACAGATCTAGTGGAGTGAGTTCTGATGCCGGCTGGAGGTGTAACTTTCTTTATCCGATAGCACAATCGGATGCACTCAGAAATCCAGTTTGAAAGTCTCTGGGTAGAAATAGGCATCCCTTTGGAACGGTCTGTGATGGAGACAAAAAGTCTAGAAGAGCTTCTAAAAGGTTTGGTTCTATTCAAATAGAAGGACAAGACCCTGCGTACCTCTAACGTATGCATTGTGACTTCGAAAGAGTTTGCATGTGGTTTCGGAAAGAAGGTCGGTAGGTGTATCGGCTCATTAATGTGGAATGAGGAATGCACCTTTGGAAGAAATTTGGGGTGTAATCTAAGGGTAACCTTGTCCTTGAAAAATAGCGTATATGGTGGATCTGCCATAAGGACTGCTATTTCTCCTGCCTGTCTGGCAGAGGTAATTGCCACTAAAAATGCTCCCTTTTACACCTTTCGATGAAAACAGCAAGCGGCTAGAGGCTCAAATGGTTGTTGAGTTAGGCAGGATAGTACTAAATGAAGGTCCCATGGAGTGGTAGGCAGTTTAATGTCTGGGTATAGGGCTTGGAGTTTCTTGAGGAAACACTTGGTGATTGGATGAGCAAAAACAGAGTTATCGTTGATTCCATCATGAAAGGTTGTAATAGCAGCTAAATGGACTCTGATGGAGCTGAAAGAAAGGCCAGATTGCTTAAGGTCCAATAGGTAGTCAAGTATGAGCAGGAGAGGTATCGACGTGGGAGAAAGTTGTTTAGCTGAACACCCTTGTGTGAATCACTTCCACTTTCATAGATAGGTGGTGCGAGTAGATTGTGTTCTGCTATGTAGGAGCACTCTGAACTTGGTCAGAGCAAGCTAGTTCATTTTGGGAGAACCATGTAGGAACCAGGCTTTAAGGTGAAGCATGGACAGATTAGGGTGAAGAAATCGGCCGTGTTGCTGTGATAGGAGGTTCGGAGTGAGAGGCAACGAAATTGGTGGTCAAATTGACATTCTGGTGAGGAACGGAAACCACGGTTGTCTGGGCCCTCACCGGGACAATCAGGATCACCATGGCACAATCTGTTTGTATCGTTGTCAGAACTCTGTGGAGAACCAGTATTGGGGGGAAAAGCATAGAGTACGTTCCGGTGCCAGGGGACCATGAATGCGTCTCCCAGGGAATGTTTGCCCAGTCCCGCTCTGGAGCAAAATTCGGGACGTTTCGTGTTTTTCGCAGTTGCAAAAAGGTCTATGGTTGGGTGACCCCAAATGTGGAATATGTTGCGGATGATTGTCTCGTTTAGCTCCCATTCGTGATCCCAAGGAAAGCGTCTGCTTAATTCGTCCGCTGTGGTATTCCTAACTCCGGGAAGATAGGCAGCTGATATCCGGATGTTGTTCACAAGGCACCAATTCCAGAGCTTCATAGCCTCTGTGCAAAGCGAGTGAGAGCAAGCTCCTCCCTGCCTGTTTACATAGAACATGCAGGCAATGTTGTCTGTCATTATGCGTACATGTTGATTCCTGACTAGTGGGAGGAAGTGACGGCAGGCATTGCGTATGGCTCGAAGTTCTAGGACATTTATGTGCAGGGAGGTTTCGGTTGAAGACCATAGCCCCTGGACTGTGTGGTGAGACATGTGTGCGCCCCATCCTGTGAGGGATGCATCGGTAGTCATTATGAGGGATGGAGCATCCTGGAGAAAGGGGACTCCCGAACAGAGGTTGGAGGGAACGATCTACCATAGTAGAGAGTCTGACTCCAAAAGGTATGGAGAGAGGCTTGTTTAGACCTTGCACATTTGGTCTGTAAACCGGTGGCCAACCAAGCTTGGAAGCATCTCATGGACAGTCGTGCATTTTGGACCACGAAAGTGCACGAGGCCATGTGACATAGTAGTTGTAGGCAGTCTTGGGCAGTGACCTGGGGGCTGTTGCGAAGTTTTATGGCCAGTAGTTTTATGGTGTTGAAGCAGACGGGTGGGAGAGATGCCAATCCCGTCCAGGAATCGAGGTCTGCTCCTATGAACTCCAGGTGTTGGGTGGGACATAATGTGAATTTGTTTTTGTTTATTTGTAGGCCGAGAGATAGGAAACAATTGATGGTGAGTTGCGTGAATCGGAAAGTTTCGTCGAACGTTGAAGCTTTGAGAAGGCAATCGTCGAGGTAAGGAAATATTATGACCCCTTGTTTCCTGAGGTAGGCAGTGACTATGGCTAGGAGCTTGGAAAAAAACACGGGGGGCAGTGGAAAGACCGAAGGGTAGAACCCTGTATTGAAAATGTGTTGAGCCAAGGGTAAAACGAAGGAATCGTCTGTGGGCTGCATGTATAGTCACATGAAAATAGGCGTCCTGTAGGTCGAGGACTGAAAACCAATCGCCCTGCTCCAGCGCTGGAATTATGGTGGTGAGAGTAACCATCTTGAACTTTTGCTTTTTCATAAATTTGTTGAGCTGCCTGAAGTCGAGGATCGGTCGCCATCCCCCAGTTTTCTTTTCTGTTAAGAAATAATGGGAATAAAAGCCCTTCCCTCTGTGTCGTTCGGGCACAAGTTCCACTGCTCCGAACTGAAGGAGATGTTGTACTTCTTGGAAGAGCAGTGGCTCGTGAGAGGGGTCCCTGAAGAGGGACGGGGAGGGTGGGAATAGAGTAGCCAATTGTGACGACCTCTATAACCCACTTGTCGGTGGTAATGCTCTGCCATTGATGGGAGAATGGTCGTAGGCAGTGTCCAAAAATAGGTACAAATCTGCTTATTAGTTGGAGGGGGTTGAGGTGTTACCGAAGAATCGGGACGACTACGCTTGCCCTTGAGTCCTTCATTGAATGAAGTACGTCGTTCGTGGTGGAAGCAAAGGGTTTGTCACCGTCAAAGGGAAGATCTTCAATGGTACTCTGGACTCTTGAGGAAAGGAAGAGGATGAGAGCCATGAACCTTGGCGCATGACCACTGCTGCGGTGGTGGATCTTGCTGCAGTATTGGCTGCATTGAGGGCCGCTTGAAGAGCGGTACGTGGTATGATTGGTCCCTCAGAAACTAAAGCTGTGAATTGTTGCTTCTTTTCTTCTGGAATGTCATCAATAAAGTCCATGAATGTGGTATAGTTTCTGTGGTCATATTTTGCGAGAACTGCAGTATAATTAGCAATATGAAATTGTAGCGTTGAAGATGCATATACTTTATGTCCAAGGAGGTCCAAGCATTTACTGTCTTTGTTGGATGGCGTGGAGCGGGAATACTGCTGTTTGGTCCTTTGGTTGGCTGTGTCTATGACCAACGAGTTTAGCGCTAGATGGATAAAATGGAATTCAGAGCCCTTAGAAGGGATGAAGTACTTGCGATCCGCTTGTTTACAGGTAGGTAGACTTGTAGCGGGAGTCTGCCAGATGGCCTTAGCAGGTTCTAAAAGGGCTGCGTTGATTGATAATGGAACCCTAGAGGAAGAAGAGGGCTGTAGGATGTCTCTTAACTCATGCTGTTGTTCAGGGACCTCCTCCAAGTCTTTTTAAAAAGAAGGTCTTGAAATTTTGAGAAGTCATCCGAAGATGTTGGGGGAGGGGGAAGTAAGGCTTCTTCAGGCGTTACCTCCAGGTCTACTGGAATAGGAGCAGGACGTGATTGATCCTGCAATTGTGACGGTGCTGCCTGGTGTCTTGCGTCGGTGGCAGGTTCGTCAGCTTATGGCGCTAGGCAGGTGTTGCGCCTGGTTGTGGTGGAGTAGCGAGTGTGTTCTTGAGGATACGATGCCCATGGGACCCAATATTGCCACGGCAGTGGGAAGGGCATAGGTGGTGCCATGCAGGGATTCACACACACAACGGGGCAGAATCCTGAGAGTAGGATGAGGTAATTTTTCTATGACCTCTGTTGAGTGGGATCTGAGGATGGGAACCTTGATATGGTGAAAAATCCCCCTGCGGTCCAGCTTCCTTCTCACTGGAGGAAGGCTGTCCAGACCCTGATTCAGCCATTGGAGAGAAGCAGGCATTCAGCGGGGGTGACTGCAGGATAGGTGACACGAGCAGGTCCCTTGACTGAGTAAACCGCAGTGCCGAGGCTCCTGTGTGAGGTAAACGCTGTTCGGGAGGAATCTGCTGTGAGGAAAAATTCCTCTGCACTGGTGTTTTGAGCCTTGACTCACTGCCAGTCAGCTCGGCGGGTGTCGGTGCCAGAGCCGGTGCCGGGAGATCAATATCAGCCTGCGGGGGGGTCAGGCAGGTCGTGATATGTGGTGCCGAACGGTGCCAGAAGAGAGGCAGGCAGCTGGAAGCCTGAAGCCTCGGCACCGGATCTTCGCGCCGCCGCCGCAGCTGCAGGCGGGTTTTGCCCGGTGCTGGAGGAGCCCAGCGTGTCAAACGTGCTCAAGCGAGGGAGCACCGGGAGGGAAGTGGTAGACCTGCCCGGAGAAGTCTTATCCCGCAGGGTTTCCTTTGTGGATGACAGAAGGTGCCCTTTTTTTGAAGTTTTCTTATGGTTCTTTCAGGCAGGGGGGCTGTGGTGGGCAGCAGAGCCGGAATCAGCGCCTGGGTCTGAAGCCGACTCTAGGGATTTCTGAAGGAGGAGCAGTTTTAGTCTAAGTTCCCTGTCCTTCTGTGCCCTGGAGCTAAGTTTACTGCAGTGGGCACATTTTTGGGGGATGTGGGTCTCCCCCAGACATTTTATACATTTTGAGTGGCCATCTGACAGAGGGGTTGGCTTCTTACAGGTAGAGCAGCGCTTAAAGGCCGGGAAGCCAGGCATGTTCGAAGCGGCTGCGGCTGACAGGAAGGAAGAAAAAAAAATTTTTATTTTTTTTTTATTAAAGAAAAAGATAGAAAATGGTAACCAACTACGACTAACAACAAACGAACAAGAAACTAACTAACTAGAAGGGTAATTGTAACAAGAGGAAGAAAGCTCTTAACGAGTCTGCTGAGCTCCGTCTCAGGCTGGGGATGGTAGAGAAGGAACTGAGGAGACCGGCCGCGCATGCGTACTATTAAGGTATACTCAGAGCAGGGGGGCAGGCTCTGTGCGTGCGTGGCCAGTACGAGTACTGTTGCAAAAATCTCCCAGCGAAGGCGCAGGGACACACCAACACCTGGAGTGGAGCACCCACAGGGACATCTCTCGAAGAAGAAGAAGTGGAATTAACAAAAGGTCCTACCTTAGTAGATTTACTTTGTGAAAGTCATCCAAGTCTTGGGTATTAT